AGAATGGGAATGCAGATGGGTTATCTCGGCAAACAGACGTCCCTACTCCTCCTCAGTCCGGTCATCCCCAAGTTGACCCGCCAAAGGGTCAAGCCGGGTCTGCCGGAGTGTTCCACAAGGGGGGAGCCGTGTGACAGACCCATCTGTCTGGATTATAACTGCGTTGTTCGTCTGTTTTGCCGTTTTCATGAATTTCCCCGTTCGTATGCTTTGTTTAAGGGAATGTCGGTTTTGTCGAACGGAACTACCGAACGGACGGCCACCCAGAAGAGAAGTGTGCTGCTGGTTAACCTATTGATCCCAATTAGAACGTTGCGGTTAACCACAGACACTTCTCAATTAAAACCGAATGCCGGGTGGTCGTCGTTCGTATGTCGACCACGAGGCGGCGGCCATTTTGTCCATGCGAACGACCAGCGGTGTTCGACGATTATTTCATGGATCGGAAAACGGACACTTTTTCAGCCGAACACCGCTGAAGCCGTCGACCTCCCCTTCTCAATCGACAAAAGCATACGAATGCCAGCCGTTCGGGAGATTCAACCACACGAATGGACTTAACCCAGATAGCCGTCCCATGGAGTCAATCGCATACCGAAGAACTGAAAGAGACTTTGACTCCATGGCGATTGAACTGTGCGAATGGGATCTGAGCGCTATTCTCCAATAATGTGCCCTCAGATCCAGGCTATCTGGGGATATGCAAGACTGATGTAAAATGTTCAGCAGTTATTAAGTTATGGATTTTTGTGTGTTTTTATAACTTGTATCTAAAATGGCGATTGCCTCTGCTCGGGGAGATAATTGAATTACTTCCCAATTATTCCCCGAGCAGAGGGGAGGGAACTGTACTGCATGCTGGGAATATTGTGGGGATGTATGTCCAGAATGTCCCCATGTCCCTCTGTGATTTCAGTCTCCCATTTGGTCCCCTAGGGGAGTGTCCACCAAGTGGGAGACCTGCATAAATACCGGGCAGGTAGCCCACAGTAAACCAGTTCGTGTTTTACCCTCAAAGCGGAGCTTGGTCTCGTTATTGGGGGGATTGGGTTACCGACGCTTAGAGACTGCTGATTGGAAATATTTGCCGCTTGGAAGGTATTAGCGTTCGGCTAATATTGGCAGTTCGTGGATTTGGAGCTCGTGGAGGGAAATAGCCGTACAGGTACCGTTCGGGAGTTTGGAGTGTTCCCCAGCTGGCGGTTCGCATGGTTTTACTATACCCGCTACCAGCCTACATTATTGCGAACGGGGAATACTCACTAAACGGCGGTTTATACATTTCATTACTGGAGGTACCGTAACAGTGCCCACACCAGAGCCAAACACTCCTTTTCTACCGCTGCATAGCTGACTTCGCGTGGTAGGAGTTTTCGACTGATGTAGGCAATCGGGTGTTCTTTCCCATCATCTCCTACTTGGCTGAGGACAGCTCCCAGCCCAAACATGGAAGCGTCTGTATGGACAATAAAACATCGATTAGGGGCTGGGGCAGCCAAGACAGGAGCATTAATCAACGCAGTTTTGAGGGCTTGGAAAGCCGTTTCACAGTGGGGAGACCACAGGACCTGTCGGGGAAGGTTTTTCTTTGTCAGGTCGGTCAGGGATTTGGCAATGGCGCTATACTCCGGTACAAATTTTCTGTAGTACCCAGCGGTACCCAGAAAGGCTAGCACTTGGGTCTTAGTGTGAGGAGTGGGCCAGTTGGCGACCGCTTCTATTTTAGCTGGCTCTGGTCGTTGTTTCCCACAGCCTACCCGGTGACCCAGGTACTGAACCTCAGCCATCCCAAAGTGACATTTTTCGGGCTTTAGCGTCAGGCCGGCGGCTCGAATCTGGTCTAGGACTATTCCCACATGAGCCAAGTGTTCTTCCCAGGATTCACTGTGGATCGCTATGTCGTCCAGATATGCGCAGGCAAACTCCTGGAAGCCATCAATGAGTCTGTCCACCAAGCGCTGGAAGGTAGCGGGGGCATTCTTCATCCCGAACGGCATGACCTTGAAGTGGTACAGACCGAACGGGGTGACGAAGGCCGACTTGGGGACAGCCTCCCTGGTCGGGGGGATTTGCCAGTAACCCTTACAGAGGTCAATGGTAGTTAGGTAGTTCCCCCTGGCTATGCGATCTAGCAGCTCATCCACTCTGGGCATGGGGTAGGCATCGGTGACAGTTTTGTCATTGAGTTTCCGGTAGTCTACACAGAATCTGGTGGTGCCGTCCTTTTTGGGAACCAGCACCACCGGGGATGCCCAGGGACTATCGGAAGCTTCAATGACCCCTAGTCGCAGCATCTCGTCTATTTCCTTTTTCATGCCTGTCCTTACTGCCTCCGGAATTCGGTAGGGCGCCTGTCTCAAAGGGTTTTGGCCGGGGGTATCTACTTGGTGAGTGGTCAGCTCAGTGTACCCTGGCTCTTGGGAGAACATGGCTTGTTTCTCTCGGAGCAGTTTGTGTAGCTGCTCCCTCTCAACTTGGCTAAGTCTGTCCCCGATCTGCACTTGGCTCACTATTTCAACCGGGGAGTTAGAGGTTAATAGGTCGGGTATAGGGAGACTATCTATTTTAACATCTGCTTGAGGGTTCCGTTGAACCGCTCACATAGCCCATTGGTCTGGGGGTGGTACGGGGAGCTAAGAAGGGATTTTATTTTGCAAACGTGCCATAGCTGTTGGGTCAGTTCTGCCGTGAACTGTGATCCCCTGTCGGATAGGATCTCCCTAGGGAATCCTACCCGAGAAAACACCTGCACTAATGCATTAGCCACCGTGTCTGCCTGGATATTAGATAAAGCTACAGCTTCTGGGTAGCGGGTAGCATAGTCCACTATGGTAAGAATGTATCTCTTGCCCGAGGGACTAGGGGTGGCCAGGGGCCCAACTAAGTCAATGGCTACCCGGCTAAACGGCTCCTCGATAATGGGCATGACAGGTAGGCAAACGAGGGTGGTCTCCTCGTTTGCCTACCCGTTGGCACACCTCACACGTATTACAATAGGACCTCACATCTGCATGTACTCCTGGCCAGAACAAGGTATGGGTAATACGGTGCAGGGTACGGGTTACTGCCAAGTGCCCGGCTAAGGGAATATCATGACCCACCCGGAGGATATCCCGCCTATACTTGTGGGGTATTACTAACTTTCTCCTCCGGTGGCCCTTTTTCTCGGTGTGTCGGTACAGTCGGCCCTGTTCCCACGCAAACGTCTCCTGGTCTGGTCCCCCAGCCCCAGCCCCCTTTCCCTATATTTTTGGAGCGTCGGGTCAGTTTTGGTCTCAGCCTCAAAGGCTGCAGGGGTGTCCCAGGGCAAGGGGGTAGGAGGGGGGGTCACAGTCGGGTTAAGTCTCACCTGAGCCTCCCGCACTGGTGAAGGGTCTCGTACTCATCCTGCTTGTGACCGGGTCGTCACGGGATGTGCCTCAGCGTTGTAAGAAGGAGCATAAGCTGAGGTCATAGGTCCCAGGTCGTTTCCCAGCAAAACTTCAGCTGGCAAATTATCCATAATTCCCACCCGCACAAGTCCTTTGCCCACACCCCAATCCAAGTGTACCTTTGCTGTGGGTAGTTTGTATATGTCCCCTCCAGCCACTGTGTCAGGGGAGCGTTTGTATTCGGGAACTAACCGGCTTTGTACCAAGGTGATCGTGGCCCCGGTGTCTCTTAACCCCTGTGTGGGACGACCCTCCAGCAGTACCTCTTGCCGGTGGTGTTGTCGATTGTCACTGGCGGCATACACAGGGTTAGCTTCATGTAGGGGTCCCAGGTACTCTTCCAAAGGACTGTCTTGTTCCAGGCAAAACGCTCGAGCTGGGCGATTGTTTCCCGTTGAAGAGGAATTGTAGTTCCTTGCGGGGTAATTGTTGTTGAGGGGGCAACTCGCTATCAGGTGCCCCGGTTGCTTGCACTTGTAACATGTGGGTCGGGAGCGCTCCTGCGGGTATTGACTGGGTGGTCCCGTGTACCGTGTAGGACCTGCCGGTACAGGGGTGCGAAACTCCGTTCGTGGAGTTGGTCGGTACCCCTCTCTTGCTTCGGGGCGAGTTACCGTTCGGGCATTGCTGAACTCCTGAACTTGCGCATCCCGGTGTTCGTCCGCCAACCTGGCGGCTTCATGTAGATTAGCGGGACGCCGGTCTTTCAACCACTCCCTGTCTTTTTGTTCCAGACCCTCATAAAAATGTTCCAGTAAAAATAGTTCTAGTACCTCTGCTGCGGTAACGGCCCGACACCCGGTAATCCAATGGTTAGCCGCTCTCCGCATGCGGTGTGCCCATTCGGCATGTGTGTCGTTCGCCTTTTTCTTCGTGCTGCGGAACTGCCTTCGGTAGGTGTCTGGGGTCACAGCGTACCGTTTCAGCAGCGTCTCTTTTACTGTGGGGTATTGGGCTACCTCTTCAGCGCTGAGGGTTCTGAAGGCTTCCATGGCCCGCCCGGTTAATTTTCCTGCCAGGATACGCGGCCATGCTGCGACGGGGATCTGATGCAGGGCACATTGTCTTTCAAAATCGGCCAAAAATTCGTCTATCCCCATCTCATTCTCCGCGAACGGCTTGAATGCCGTGAACGGAATCTTTGGCTGTTCGGCAGTTTCCAGGGAGCCGTTGTGGCTATCAGCGGTCCTCATGCTCAGCTCGTGGGCTCTAGTCCGCTGTACGTCCGCCTCGGCTTCGGCCATTAGTTGCTGTATCAGCTCCACTGATGGGTTCGGTCCGTACAGAGGCAGCCTTTCTCGGACAATCCTGGTCTTCTCATCGCTGAATGCTGCCGTCGGTTCTGCCATTGTGAAGCTTTGATCCAACTCGTTCAGGTCGGCAATCAATTCTCTCCTCGGCCGGTTACTTGCGTTCCCTCCACGGCTCTCGAGTAAATCCTTTAACGTGGTACGCTTCAGCTTATCGTAGTTACTCTCCATCCGTCCTATATATCTCTTTCAGGAATTCCAGGATGATCCCGCCGCTGCCACCAATTGTTACGATTGTCCCCGGTCTAGCAGGAGGGTTGATCGCTTGGATGTCCTGGTTCCCGCTGCAGAGAGTCGAACGGAGATCTTTCGGTAGTAAGCTGCAAATGTAGAATATCCCCAAGCACGATATGAGCATCAATATCCCGGATCCCTACAACATGAGTCGAGGCTGCAAGTTGAGGGTCAAAACGAACTGGCTTTACTGGCACATAGCATGGCAAATTATGTGATTCCTCAGGTCCAAGGACAGCCCCCTGTGGACCTGATGGAATACAGGTACAGTACAAACAGCTAACCAATCACAGTACACTGTATCATTTGAATTAGTACCCGCCCAGCTTGGAGATAATGAGGCCAACGGTTTTACAATCTAATTATCTCCAAGCGCACAAAAGACCACGTTTTATTATGTCCCAGAAAACTACATAAAAATCCATAACTTGTACATTATTACAGGAAAACCATTCATTCTACCATTCATCTGAAGGCTCGCGTTCGTATAGATAAAACAGGCGAATGGCGCTCTAATCCCACGAACAGAATGTACTGTTTCTGCCGTATAAAGTCCGTTCGGCATTTTGAGATTGTTAGTCTTTGTTGGCGGCCATGTTTTCTGCTGGTTTAGCGAGCAGCGGGACTTCGTGTCTAACTCGTGGAACTAAACTCGGTATCAGTCCATGTGAAGTCCCGCTGTCTGTCTGGTAGTGGGCTCGGTCGGTAAGAGAATGAGGACCACCTGGGAGCAGGGTACTTGACCTGCGGTTAACCGCAGAAACCACAGTTAATGAGCGCCACGCGACTCGCTGTAGGGGGTCGTCGTTCGGTGGATAGTTCGGTATTTTCCCTTCGGTACTTTGGGTGCGAACGTCGATGCCCCCAGGCATATCAATTACGTTGTGGTTAACCGCAAACCGCAGCCACCTGGGTGGTTAATGGCTGCCACACTCCGCGGGCCGGGTGGTCGACCATTCGGTAGTTTGCGGGGTGACGGGGTTAAGTGGCGGCACACGCCAGTTTCTGGGGGGTCCCCCGTTCGTACCACGAATGGAGCCTTCATAAGGGTTCGCGTAATCCATTCGTGTGGTTTTCTGCTTAACTTCTGCAGTGGCAAACAGTATCAATCGGTGAGTTAAAACAGCAACATAGTGATTTCCAGTCTTTTGTAACAGTAGTTATCAGGGGATGATGGGAGATGTAGTTCACCATGTAGTCGGATGATGGGAGATGTAGTTCTCCATGCACAGGGTGATGGTAGATGTAGTTATATATGAAGGGGGTGATGGGAGATGTAGTTATCCATGTAGTGGGATGATGGGAGGCGTAGTTAGCTATGCATGGAGATGATGGGAGATGTAGTTCTCCATGCAGTGGGATGATGAGAGATGTAGTTCTCCATGCAGTGGGTGATGGGAGATGTAGTTCTTCATGCAGGGGATGCTGGGAGATATAGTTCTCCATGCAGTGGGTGATGGGAGACGTAGTTCTCCATGCAGTTGGTGGTGGGAGATGTAGTTCTCCATGTAGTGGGATGAAGGGAGATGTAGTTCTCCATGCAGTGGGATGATGGGAGATGTAGTTATCTATGCAGGGACGATGGGAGATGTACTTCTCCATGCAGTGGGTG